TGACTTTTCTGGGCCTGAGTCTTTCATTTGCCATATGAGAAGGGTGATTGCTGACATCAGCCCAGATACCGTATGCTGTGAGACTAAGCATACACATGTGCAAACTTATTTACATAAACACTCCCACACAGAGCCTGTCAGTGTCAGCATCTCTCTCCTCGTCCTCCCCACCCCCTGCCATGGCTTGAGTCTGTTCCCAGAGACCAAAGGGGCAGCATGGACCTGACCCAAAAGCAGCAGTACCCAGGGACAGTAGGACCTTGGAAGACCATGCCAGAATCTTTGACTCAGTGCCCAAGGGGCCAAGGTCTCCAAGTCTCTGGCTGGGTGGTGGGAGGGGGGTTCATGAGACAATGTCTCGTTTCACACCAAGCCAAAGCAACACTGAAGTGCCCCTGTGCAAAGAGATCTGCTGGGAACAATGGACAAAGATTCAGGAGTTGGAAAGGGCAGCCCAGGTGAAGGTCTCCCCCCGCCCCCCAAGTTCTTCTGCCTCTGAGGTAGATTCCTCTCCTTCGCTCCAGGACACCCCCAGGAACTGTGAGCGCTATCTAAACTGGGCCCATGCCTTCCTGGTGGTGTACAGTGTGGACAGTCGCCAGAGTTTTGAGAGCAGCAGCAGCTACCTAGAGTTGCTGGCTTTGCACGCCAAGGAGACACAGCGCAGCTACCCTGCCCTGCTGCTGGGCAACAAACTGGACATGGCCCAGTACAGGTGAGTGCAGCCGTCTTAGCCCTCTCCTCTACAGCTTGCTTCCACACGGATGCAGGATGACATCCTTAGGGACCACTGCTGCCCAAGACCGGAGCCGCCCTCAACTTCAGGTAAAGGGATGGTGCTGAACGAGTGCACAGTGAGTTTGTCTTCTAGGCAGCCAGTGACGGGAGGGAAGGACACCTGGGCCACTTTGGACATGGGCTGGATCCCCCAAAGGCAAGAGAGAAGGCACCCCTTCCTTTCAGGAGTCTCGGTGGTCTCTTACATCAGCCTTGCCCGAGGCCATGTGACATTCCGGTCCCTCTCCCAGCAGCTGAGTAGTCATTTGGTGCCCAACTCCAGTCCCGAGGAGGAGGTCTAATTTGCTCCTTGGATCAGGTGACTGCTGTAGGTCCAACCAGCTTGCCCTGGCCAGACACAGCACCTCAGGCTTGTTGCCACAGTAGGCTGCTGAGGGCAGGCCTCTCTTAGAAAGGCTTGGACTTGAACCAGGGGTCACAGACTGGGCCAGAGGGCAGATCACCACAGAAGGCTGCAGCCATATTTTGCTTGGCTGGCACAATGTTTTAAATGACTTGGAGCTGGAATGCTCTGAGGTGGGGCCTGCTTCCTTCAGCTGACCACAGGCCTCGCCACTCCCCGTGGTTTCTACCTCCACCCTCCCCACACATCCAAGTCACCCGCCTAGCCAGCCCTAAGGCCCTGGACACCCAAGGCCTGCCCTTGAGCAGTCCAGCTGAAACTCTCCAAAGCGGACATTGTTCCATGTGGCCAGTCCACCTGCTGGGTGTGGCACTCACCTTCCATCAGCCTCCTGCTTCTCCCTTTCTGCTCTTAACTCGTTCTAGCTCTCCCAGACCCCAGAGGCCCAGTGACTGATGCTGGGATTTGTTCAGATTAGGTCACACAGGCAGAGGAAGAAGGTTTCCTGAAAGGTAACTCTGATAGTGTGGGGTCTTCTTCACGGGCGGTCCAACCTGCAGCCCAAGAAAAACTGCATCTTGGAGAATAAGGGAATTCCTACAGTGGGACCACTGAAGGTGGTCCTTGAACTCTCTTGGAACTCGGAAGAGCGATCGGAAGACTGGACTGTGAATAGAAAGGAGAGTGTTCCATATGACCCAGGCTTGTGGGGGTGACTATAGGATATTGTTTTAACCCCAGTGTTTCCCAAAGAGATTGTTGAAAATAGTTTGCAAGTGAGTGACCCGGAATCCAGGGTTTGAATGAAACAGCCCTGGTTCCCTGGGTACAAGACGTGACGGTTTACCCCACTTTTCAGCTGAACACTAATACGTGTAACACTAAGAGGGCAGGGCTCAGTGGCACGCTGGGTTTCCTGTCCCCTTGCACCTGCCCAATCAGCCTTGGCCCAGAAACTTTTCCCCCACGACTTCTTACCCTGGCATCCATCCCCTCCCATCTTGGCTGTGCCATGGTCCTCAGGGATGTTGGTTGGGGCAGTTCATCAGTGGGGGTTGGTGAGCAGGATTCAGCTGGTGCAGCCTTGGCCTCAAGACCTGAGGAGTCCCCGTCAGAACATAGGAGCTTTTCAAGAGCCAATCTTCATTTTTTTTCCTCCACCTCCATTCTCATGGGTTCCAGTCAGACGTTCCTAGAGACCTTCCACTTGCAAACATCTATCCTTTCATCACAGGAGGCGGATAGAAGCGAACAGGAGTGCACACAGCCCTGCCCCGTCCCTCTGTTCTAACATTGCTGCTCTCTGCTGGCCCCCAACTGGACAAGCAGACAAAACACCCATGAGAGTAATTTGAGGGGTGAGGCCCCCTTCAGTGCAAACAGCCGCTCTTTTCTAATACTGGTTCCTCAAGCCAGGGCTAAGGGTGGCCGTTTCCTGAGGAGACAGGCAATGGCTTCCTTCCTTTGGCCATAGGCAGAGTCTAGCATGGGAGAACTTGGCTCATCTTTTCTCCTTTCTTCATATGCGTTCCTAAATTCCAGCTTTGGCAACACCAGCTACCATTTGTTGAGTGCTGATTCTGTGCCAGGTAATCATGCTAAGCACGCCATGCAAATTGTCTGTCTTTGCCCTAACAGCCTGCAGAGGCGGGTGCCATTACCCCGCCGTGCTGATGAGAAAACAGATTCAGACCACCGGGTGGGGAGATGGGTGTGGGACCCTCCCTGCCTGACTTGGAATGCCATTCTCCTGACCGCCTCCCCCTGCTTCCTCGCCAGGCAGGTCACCAGGGCTGAGGGCGCGGCCCTGGCGGGCAGGTTCGGGTGCCTGTTCTTTGAGGTCTCTGCCTGCCTGGACTTCGAGCATGTGCAGCATGTCTTTCATGAGGCGGTGCGAGAGGTGCGCCGAGAGCTGGAGAAGAGCCCCGCGGCCCGGCCCCTCTTCATCTCTGAGGAGAAAGCCCTGTCTCACCAGACCCCGCTCACAGCCCGACATGGGCTGGCCAGCTGCACTTTCAACACTCTCTCCACGATCAGCCTGAAGGAGATGCCCACTGTGGCCCAGGCCAAGCTGGTCACTGTGAAGTCATCCCGGGCCCAGAGCAAGCGCAAGGCACCCACCTTGACCCTACTGAAGGGCTTCAAGATCTTTTGAGGACCCTTCTACAGAAACCTCACGCTCGGCTGATGCTTGGGGCTGCAGGGCGGAGGCTGGCTTGTCTTCCGATGTACCAGAGGCCCTTAGGCCCGGGTCCATAGCTGGACTCCACCTCCAGCAGCAAGCAGTCCCGGCATGCTCACTGTGTGAGCCAGAGGGACAGGCAGGTATGCTGATCTGAGTCCCCCAGGCCTTGGGCTTCATGGTAACCTCTGCATCCACCACCCTGGAGAGAAGCTGTCCCCGTTACCAGCCAGAGACCTGGAACCAGGAGCGAGCAGAAAGGAACTGCGGTGCATATCCTGTGCCATGACTCCGGTTCAAAGCAGCTTCATCTATGTGAAGGCTTGTAGCAGTCTACAGGATGGCTGGCCCTGGGGCCCTACTGCCACCTGGTGGTAAAAAGAGGTAGGGCAGTTGTCCGGAGGCCCAAAGCTGGGGCCTCCCATGTCTTCTGACGTCTTAAAACCCCAGGCTACAAACCTTCCAGTCCATCCAAGAAAAATCCGGTTAGAATAATCCTGTGGGAAAGCCTGGATACGGCAATGAAATCTGGATGGGAGCATTTCAGCACTCTCAGTGAAGGGTGCAGAGAGGGGCTGTGGATTGTCCAGGCTAGGGGGGAGCCTCCGGCATTTTTTTTTCACCAGCCTTTGGGGACTCTTGTGACCACTTTATTAGTAGACCCCCCTCCCCCACCCCCTTGGATCACCCTTCTTGAGTTTAATGACTAAGGCTGCAGAAAGTCATTCTACACAGGTAGGTGTAGTCTGGTTTGGTTGGACCTAGGTCCCTCAGCAATGGATCGGAGTTTTCAAAGCTCACTTTGGGGAGATAGATCCCAATGTGTTTGGGATTAATAAGGTGGACTTTGGCATCAACCCCCCATTCGGTGTTTTACCAAGTCTCGGATGTGAGAAGGCTGTCCAGCTACAGCGGTTTCTTACTGTTTACCACAAACTCTAGATGAGCTGGTTCAGGAAGGGCATTAGATGGGTTGAGCCAGGCATCCTAACCTAGGAAGTCTGCTCCTTCAGCACCCAGCCAACAGACGCAGGAGCTTGGACTGAAAAGATCTCAAACCCAGTCTTCAGCTCTATTCTGTAGCTGGAGATGCTAAGGTCAGAAGGAGGCTGTGAACTACTCAAGAGCATGTACCACAAGCCCTGGCACTGATCCTGACCAACAGGCCAGATCTGAACTTTGTACTTTTTATTTCTTTGAGACAGAGTCTCTTTATTATGTAGCTTTGGCTGTCCTGGAACTCGCCCAGGCTTGAGTTGAACTCACAGAGATCCACCTGCCTCAGCCTTCCAAGTGCTGGAATTAAGGCTTCCACCACACACACGACTTTGTATGTTTGATCCAAGCCACTTGTGTGCTGGGGAATATTATTTTAAGCTATTTGTTTGTGTTGCATTTGTTTAACTCTGTGAAGCTGTGTTACTGTGCCTGTCTAAAACACCTGATGGTCTAATAAAGAACTGAACAGCCAATAGGAAGGAAGGAGAAAGGACAGGTGGGGCTGGCAGGCAGGGAGGATATATAGGAGAAAACTGGGGGGAAGAGAGAGAGAGAAGTAGCCAGAGAAAGAGGTGGACTCCAGGGACCAGCTACCCAGCAAGCCATGGAATAAGAATAAGATTTATAGAAGTAAGAGAACAGGAAAATCTCAGAGGCAAAAGGAAGACAGGGATAATTTAAGAAAAGCTGGCTAGAAACAAGCCAAGCTAAGGCTGGGCGTTTATAATTAAGAATACGCCTCTGTGTGTGATTTATTTGGGTGGTGGGCCCCCAGAAAGATCAAAACAAACACCAACACTTGTGTGTGTTTCATAGACTACCATCGTTTGAACCAACCATACACTTCCAACTGCCCACCTGGAGAAGCATTTTAATAAAAGACTTTTTTAAAATAATGAATTTTCATCTGGGCGAAGTTTGTTTATTGTGTCTGCTAAAAATAAGTTAGGCTGCTTGGAGGGGAGTGTCTAACCTGAGGGGTTTGAGGCCACAGAGCTGAGTTCAGATCACAGTCATGTGTCTGGCTGGGGTAGTGTGTTTTCTCAACGCTCACTAGCTCTCGGTTTCCTGTGGATCTGGTAGAAAGACCTCTGGTGCAGCTTTCTCATTCAGCTCTGTTTCCTCCGGGGGCACGCAGGGCTTCTCTGAGATCAGTGTCTCTCTGAGGTTGCCCAGGCTGCTGAGTTCTTTCATCTTGGAATCATCTAGATGCAGGACTTGTGGTGTTTCTTTGTCTTGTGGCTGCTTCTTTCGATTTCTGGGAGGAGAGGAAATGGTGTTGATCGGGGATATTGAGAGGTTGGGTCAGGACTCAACGGTTAGAGAGCTTGAGGGAAGAATCCTCTGTGCAGAAGGGGCAGTGGCTGAGCGGCTCCCACTTTCATGTCTATCATCTCTCTGCAAGGCTACCCAGGAGCTAAGCTTTGATTGACAGCCCTTAGAGATGAGGAAGCATACGAAGGCAAAGAAGCACCGTATTATACATCCAGATCTGCCCATTCTGAGCCCTGTGACTTTTCTCCAAACCACACTATCCTGGCCCCAAGGCTGTCATCTTAGTACAGGTGACCTCACCTGCCATGCTCGATCCCTGAGATGCTGCCAGAAATCCCTAACTAATCTATCTGTCACTCTGCTTGTTTCTCCAAACAGGATGTTTCCCCACGCCTTCAATCATGCATGTAAGACACAACCCTGCACATGGCTCCCACTGGCTACTTCCTCAACCTGATGGTGGTCTTTTCACCAATTCTTAAAAAGCTCTCCTTTCTCCAAACTGAGTTACTCAAGGAACTCGTGGGCTTCCTGCAGGCCACGGTGGAAGGGTCTGAGCACCAGATAATCTGCATGGCCCACAGGGGAGCAGGCCTATATCTGCTGCTCCTGTGGACAGCCACCTTGTCTCTCAGCTGAGTTTGCTACGAGGGACCCTTCCTGACAGGGCAAGAGGGGCCGGGACCCCTTAGAGGGTGACACCCTTCTGCGCCATTCCAACTTGCTAGCCAGGGCTAGGGGGTCATAACTGGGGGCAGCTGCTGGATGGTTTAATAGCTTTCCTCCCTGACAGCTGCCAGCAAAAGACGAAGAGCCGGTTTCCATCTAGGAAGGAAACCCCGCTCCCCCCCTCTGGAGACCCGCTCCAGACCAACTCCTCACCTGTTTGCCAGGATGCTCCTCCTCAGGAGGACCATGCTTATCACCACCACCAGGGCTGCCAGAACCAGGATGGAATAGTTCCAAGGAGCCGCTGAGGAGGGACACACAGACAGACAAATCCTCAGGCCAGGTGCCACTCAGATCCACCCACTCACAACTGCGGCTTGGGCTCAGGCCCATCTCGGGTCATTCATTTGTCCCCTGCTATGGAGAGCCCCATCAAGACCCCTTGCTCTGAGGGAACTCCCGACTGACCATTGGGTGGATGGATGGGGTGGAGACAAGCTCTCTGCTCTGGACCAGCCCTGGTCCTATGGGGGAGATGGCACTTGTTTGGATACTAGCTGGGTAAAAAGGGGTGTGAGGGGCAAGGAGGAAGAGGTGGGTCACCTTGAACTTCCGTCTTCAATGTTACTGCCTTTAGGAAAAGAAGGAAGAAAGAGGAGAGAGGGAGAGTATGAGAGCCTAACTGGATACAGTGACTGTCTGCCACGGGCACCAGGTAAAGTGGCAGGTTGGGCTGTGAGTGCTCAGGACATGTCAAACGTCTCCAAGCGAGGCAGGCTCCGGGTGCACAGCTTTTACCCCCCCCTGGCAGGAAAGATCCTCCACCAAATGATCCGACAGTGAGTTCCTTCCCTTCTTTCGAGGGTTTTCCCCGCAGCAAGCCTTCATCAGAGTGAGCCATTCCCTGATCTCATTGTCTACCTCGATGCATAATCCCACCCCCCACCAACCCCCCCACCCCTGCCACACACACACACACACACACACACACACACACACACACACACACACACACACACACACTGTATTGAGGGTTGAGTTTAGGAATTCCTTGAATGCTAGCCAACCACTTCACCACTGAGTGCCAAACTCTTTTTAAATTCTGAGACAAGATTTCACTAAGTTGCCCAGGCTGGACTTCATCTCTGTGTGGCTCATGCAGGCCTCAAACTTGTGATCATCATGGCTGAGCCTCTTGTGTAGCGAGGATTGCAGATCTGGGCTACCTACCGGGCCAGCTGGCTTCTTTTTCACTGTGCACCGGGAACATATACTTTTAGCTGCTGGTTTCTTTTCTATGTCCTCTACTAGAATGGACACACGGTGTGGGTAGAGACTTGCGTTTTGTTTTTCACTGCTGTGACCCCAGTGCTAGGGACTGTGCCTAGCACACAGTACAGTTTAATAAATAGAGGAGGTGGTTGATAGCTAAGTGGCCCACACCCTGAGAAAAGGAGAGTGAGTAGGCTCAGCTAGCCCCTCTAGATGAGATGTCTAGCCTTACTCCCTTTTAAAGAAAATGTGCCACTGGGTGGGGTAGAAGAGACAGTGACGAACTGCTTCACCACCCCCAACCCCCATCACTTACCATCTTCCGCACGAAAAAACCAAATCATTTCTTCCAGAAGTTCCTGGGGCACCTCAGGGCTGGCTGCAGCTCCCTCCACACTGTGGTCCATGTCTCTGCTCTTGGTTGAGATGTTTCTGGGCTGTGAACAAACAAGTGTTGAGTCCCCAGCGGTCCTCCTGGCCTCTCAGGTTCTGGCCTCCGAGCAGACAACTCTGGCAACAGTGGACAGCACATCCTGGCCCCGGTTTGCCTTTCCGCCCCGGTTTGCCTTTCCGCCTTGTCCAAACCATCAGGGCTCTGGCCCAGTGTTGGGACAGCAGGAGCCTGAACTGAAGCTGACTGTGGCAGTGAATGCAATAACAATTTCAGGAGACTGAGTCAGGAGGACTGCTAGGCTAGTTCAAGGCCTGGGTAACGTGGAGGGTTCCAGATCAGCATGAGCTATGTAGGGACACCCTGTCGCAATAAATGATTGACAGGCAAGTTCCGGGGACGAAGCGTGTCTTACAAAGCTGACCACCAACTTGAACCTCTGTGTGCAAAGGTTGGAATGTTACAAGTCCAGAGCCAAATTATCTTGGACCATCTTCAGTCCCCTCAAGAGCCATTTATTACCTGTCTCCACGTATGACCTAGCGTCTTTGTGACTATCAGGTAAATCCTTTGGAACGTGCCAACAGACCCCTGGCTTCCACCACCCGGAAGGCTAAGAATGTGCTTCAAGTGCATCCAGGTTTACAGCAGAGACTTCCTTGATTTTCTGTAACCTGCCTACCCAGTGTTTACAGGGATGCATTTGTAAAGTGTCTTGACTTGTGACTTTCATTGTTCTATTGCTATAAAACTTCATGAGGCCCTTGGGAGGCAGAGGCAGGAGGATCTCTGTGAGTTCAAGGCCAGGTTGGTCTCCACAACAAGACCCTGGCCAGCCAGGGCTCCAGACTGAGACACTCCCCTCCCCTCCCCAACCCTCTCTAAACAACCCATCGTGAAACTGGTACCATTCGGAACATGGAATTTAGGGTAACTGGGATCTGTGTTCCTGGGCCCTGGTCACTTATATTTGGCTCCAGGATAAACCATTTCTTATCCTCTTTGAGGTGAGATTTGTGGATTTTTTTTCCATGATAGCTAGATGGTAGATAGACACATGGATAAAATAAGAATGTGAAAATTGGAACCACAGAGGAGGAGGGACTCAAGTCTTTTCTAAAATGCAGGGGAAGGGGCAGAGATGCATAGGCCAGTGTGAGGCTGTGCCGCTGACGGCTTCGGGGTCCTTTCAGGGGACACCCCTGCTTCTGCCAGCTCTGCAACTCCCCCCCCCTGCCCCCCCCCCGTGTCTAACCTAATTATTCCACCCACTCCACCTTGCGCCTCCCTCGGTAGCCAATCACAGGCCAGTGTCTCTCCAGCTGCCGAAGCCTGGTTTATCCTAGTCTCCCTCTGGGGATTGACAGACCTGCTGCCCACTGCCGGTCAAGAAGCCAGAAGAGCCCCAGAAAGACAGCTGCAGGGTGCTGCTGTGGAGAGGTGCTGGGGAGCATGAGGCTGGGTTGGTAAACGCTACCCCGAGTCGCTACTCAGAGAACTGTTTCTTCTTTTTCTTTTGGTGGGTAAGAGGCGTGGGGGGTGGGGGTGGGGTGGGGATGATGCCCAAAATTAATTTCTGTTGTTGGCAAGAGAAGAGCATGAACCACGCTCCCTCAGGCAGTCCCCTTAGTCTGAGCCTGTTTCTGTCCCTGGGAAATAAAGCAAGTTCGCATGCATACACTGCCTTATTACTACCCCACCCAAGATTTTCTGCTTAAAGAAACAGTGAGGTTAATTTTGACAGCATATTTCAGCCAAGACAGTACACTTAAAAGCATTATTTCAATGTGATTGATGTAAAAACTGTTCGGGTGTTTTATGTTTTTTGATGCCAGGTCTTTGAACTGGGGTGTAAACTTTATGCTAACAGCATGCTTATCTTGAAGCCCACTTGCTACATTTTGAGGGCTCGGTAATGTGTGGCTGGTGACTAGTTATAATGAGCAGTTCTAGCCCTGACCAGCAGCTGGTCCTCCTGACTGCTCGGCAGGTTCTTATCATCCACAAAGACTTAGGAATCAAAAGTTTGAAAACCTCATGTTTTAAGTGAGTTTACAGTTTCGTGTGAGACACTCGCGCCCCCCCCCCCCCCCCCCCCCCGTTTATAGCTGTTCTCAGCTCCTGTGGGTTGTGGGCTGTAAACTGAACACTCCTGGCAGATTAACCTAGCCAAGAATACAAAACACTTCCAACTCTGGGTGAGCAGACTGACTTAGCTGGTAAAGGTGTTTGCCACGAAGCCTGGCAGCCAAACTGAGTTCGATTCCCAGGCCCTGCGAGGTGGAAGAGGAGAACCAACTCTCATAAGTTGTCCTTTGACCTCTACATGTGTACCATGGCATGGGTGCATCCTCCCCCATCCCAAATAAATGTAATAAAAACTGTCCTCAAGGGGGCCACACCATACCTCTTATCAAAACTGAGAACATACACACAAAATAGCACATATTTTCCTAGAACAACTTTTTGTTGTTTTTTGGTTTTTTGAGACAGGGTTTCTCTGTGTAGTTTTGGTGCCTGTCCTGGAACTCACTTTATAGACCAGGTTGGCCTCAAACTCACAGAGATCCACCTGGCTCTGCCTCCTGGGTGCTGGGATTAAAGGCATGCACCACCACTGCCCAGCTCCTAAAACAACTTTTAAGGTACGTGTTAAACACATTAGAATAGTTGCCTCCAGGAAAGGAAGAGAGGGGTCATAGAAATCAAAGAAAATTAAGAAGAAATAATTGAAGACATAAGATGGTTAAGGGAAGGGTGTGGATTAGATCTGCCATGAAAACATGTCCTGGGCACTCATGAGAGCCACCAAAGGCAATGTGACCACATGGTCTCAAGTGCAGGGGTTGGTTCTACAGCTCTGCCCGAGACAGCCTTTGTATGTGCAGCCTGGAACTTTCTCAGACAAGTGAATGGCAGACAGCCAAAGGGGAACCAAAGGACCTGACTGACACCAGAATTTTCTCTGGATTAAGTCCTCTTGAAAAAAGCAGAGAAAACCACTGGATTGGAAGAAAGTACTTTGATATGAATATAAGAGTTAAGCTTTCCCAGATATGAATACTCACTCATATGTCTAAGTAGGTGTGAATTGTGGGGAGAAAGAAAGACCCTTTGGGGACTGGACAGATGACTCAAGGGTTAAAAGCAAGTACTGGTCTTATAAAACATTGGTTCTCAACATGTGGGTCTTGATCCCTTTGGCGTTGTATATCAGATATTTACATTACCATTCATAGCAGAAGCAAAATTACAATTATGAAGTAGCAATGAAATAATTTTATGGTGGGGAGGTCACCACCATATGAGGAACTGTATTAAAGGGTCACAGCATCAGGAAGGTTGAGAACCACTGTTGTAAAGGGACTGAGTTCACTTCCCAGCACCTATATCAGGGTGACTCACAATCACCCGGCTCTATAGTTCCAGAGGATCCAACACCTTCTCCTGGCCTCTACAAGTACTTGCACACACATGCCCCCCACACATACAAATAAAAATAAAACAAATCTTTAAGAAAAAATAAAGATCTAAGACATTTGAGGACTCAGATGCCTACTTCCACCTTCCTTGACTAGGGACCGGATAGAAAAGACACAGTCATGAGCATGGTTAATCAATGCAATCTGTGTCCTAACTCCCACGTGCCACACTGAGAAGGACGAGGCAGGCTGGCCAGCTGCGGTGCCTGGGTTAGGTTAATCATGTCAGATGACCCCTGTTCCCCACACCCGTAGAGAAGAACGGGGAAGTCTAGGTAGCAAATATTGTCTCCTTCTGGAGACTGACAGAGTCTAGACACCTGCATGTGACACTGACTTTGAAAACTTGTGTGCATATTAGATTTCTTTTGAGTATGCCACTCATTCATAAAAGCAATGTGTGTAATTCCTGTGTGTGTGTGTGTGTGTGTGTGTGTGTGTGTGTGTGTGTTACTGGAGATTAAGCCAAGGGCCTTACACATGCTAGGTAAGTAAGAACTCTACCACTGACCTACAACACCTACATTTTTTTTTTCAGTTTTATTGATTTTATGTATTTGGGTGTTTTGCCTACATGTGTGTTTGTTTGTCCACCACTTTCATGCCTGGTACCCACAGAGGCCAGAAGAGTGTTGGATCCCCTGGAACTGGAGGGACAGGCAGTTGCGAGCCACCATGTGGGGCTGGGAAGCAAACCCCAGTCCTCTGGAAGGGCAGCCAGTGTTCTTAACCACTGAACCATCGTCTGTCCATCTCAACCCCTATAATTTTATGGGTGTATATTCTGTACACGTATATGCATGCTTCAGTGTGATATCCGTCATATACCTTTTTGAAAGAGCAATTCTAATTTGAGATATTTAATTCATGGAACTAAGTGAGTGGAGATGCATGCATGCTTGGGCTGTAGCTCAGTGGTTGAGTGCTGGCCTAGCATACATGAGTTCCTGGGCCCAATTCTCAGGGGACAATGGGGTAGGGACAGAGATGGAGGAAGAGGGAGAGGGGACTGGAGATGGGGAGTGGTGAGCCAAGCCCTCCCACTCTGAGACACCACAGCAGCAGGGGACTTTCTGTCACACCCTGACCCCCATTAAAAAGGTGTATCTATTGACTTCTGTAATCAAATCCCTGCATGAAGGCTGGGTGTATTTAATACAGCGTGTTTCTCCTGTCCAGGTGGCGGGGAGACTAAGTTTGACGTTTATAGACCATGGTGGCTGTCACTCTGTACACTATCAGCTCAGCATTGTAAACCAAGGTCCTTTCCTTCTGTAGTCGACAGTACAAAGTTTCAAAAACAGAAAGTTGTGTATTTGTGGGTGGGTGGATGAGCAGAGGGAGAGAGAGAGAGAGAGAGAGAGAGAGAGAGAGAGAGAGAGAGAGAAAGCAAGAGTGCAGTAATAGTGACGTTATGTAGCAGCAGCAGCAACAGCTTTTCCAGGTTCTGCAGCCATCTGAGCAAAATTGTAGAGCTATCCAGGACATTCCATTTTTTTTTTTAAGTAAAAATTGAGAGCTGGAGAGATGGCTCAGCAGTTAAGAGCACTTGATGCTC